ACCAGTTACTGTAATCAAGAATTGGACACGTACTGACACGATATAAACGAAGCTAAAGGACCATTTGTTAAAGGCCATATCTAGGTCCAGTGGTAAAAACGTTGATATAGCTTTATTGGGGGTACTATATATATAATCTTGTTTTGGGATTTGCTTACCTTTATGAGTTGATAAATCGTTGGTTGACAGTACTTCAGGTCTTTTGGGGTTCTTTTCAGGTCACTCAACCTCTCATCTTGGGATGTCACTCAACCTCTCGTCTCAAGGGGAGGCGGTTGGATCATCGCTCACCCTTCTAGAGATGTCCACCGCCGACTCTCTTCACTGGGCCGGCAAGAGGCGCGGCTCCAAAGGGATCATATTCCCAAACACGACTAATGGGAATGTCACATACGCGAATCAATTGACCTCCCAATCAACCCCAACTGATCAGCAAATATGGCAGCCCCGGTGCCTGCTAAAGTCCTGCATATTCTGCGAATGACGACTGGCTGTTAAAGTTCCAGAACACGAACCAGGCTTTGTTTAAATGCAGCAACGGCTATTTCAGAGTGCACGATATCGGGGCCTTGCTTAAGGGTTCTGATCATCACAAAAACCATTCACCTTCACATCATGCATAGGAAATACATTCAATTGCTCAAGTGCGCCCAATTACAAAAACCGTTCACCTTCAAATCATGCATAGGAAATACATTCAAATGCTCAAGTGCGCCCAATTACAGCTAGAAACAGGATTGTGTACAAGCAAAGGATCAGAGGATTCAGAGGTTAAGGTGGCAAGTGATGCCTATTGTTCTGCACCAGAAAGGTTAGCTGTTGAGCATCTTACCGCATGCCGTGGCAGACCGGCCCTGAAGCGAATCCAGTGCCACACATGGCCATAACCTGAAACAGGAGACCTAATGGGAACGCTCGTGCTAGAAAGGATCAGCGCAACTTTTTATTCAAATTGCCTTACATGGTTGCCAATCACAGTTACTTACTGATGAGCCCTGCAGCTTCACCAGCGTTGCGGAGCAGAGGTTGACCAGCAGGCGGCCATATCACAGTTGCACTAGGCAAGGCACTGGTGTGTAGGACTGGGGGCGAAGCACCGTGTGAGAGGCACTGCTGCCAGCGCCTATTTGAGATATTTAAGACATTGCTTTGCGAGAGCTTGACAGGGCAGCCAAGTTACTGACTACGCTGGTTTTTGTCCATTTTCTGCGGTGCACGCGTGCACTGCCCCCCAGACAGCTTGTGCAACAGACCCTCCACGGAAGTTGAGGTTTGTTAGACCCTGGAGCACAACAAAAGCGGTAAGACCAGGTAGCACGGTAAAAAAACATCGTGCAGCAGAACGGCTTCAACAGTACAAATTACATGTCCAATATCCGCCATGTTGTCCCACGTTGAGGCTGCATAAGTTGATGGCCCACATGTTTGTGGAGAAAAGCTCGCTTCACCATCTTCACCTGCTGACCACCCCGCCACATTGGTCTGCCAAGAACTTCCGCAAAGGCCTCGAGCCCAATGACGCAGCCACACAGGACCGATGTGGACCGGGCACTGCCAAAAGACATTCCGAATGTTGGGTTTTTTGGGTCTAATTGATGGGTGTCAGATTGAGGGCAAGATCTCATGTATTCTTAGTTTATTTCTGAATGTTGGTTGGCAGGAGGGAGCTGCATTGTTGGAAAGAAGTTCTGAATGGTAGGACCGTCAAGTTCTTGTGAAAATGAGAAGAATCCGAACTACGCCGGCCCTGCCAGTGTCCCTGACAGATTTCAGTCGAGCCCTTCAACTGCCTTTGGGCAAAGGGTTCCCTGCGGGTTGAACAAACAAGTTTGGCCCCAAGAGCCAACATGAATGTTTGTAGGGTTCAGCACGGGCTGTGAGCGAACTGCGGTGGCCCGCCAGGCCATCCAGCTCGTGCGCCAGGAGATGGCGGAGGCAGAGGAGGGCTGCGGCGCATGGGCACGTCCTTGGTGTCCAACGGAGTTTCCTCATCATGGAAACTGAACAGAAACCCTGGAAGACATTTTTCAACTGGGGGGCATTGCCTAAGGGGAAATCATTTGGTGGACACCAAGCTGGGTGTGCATCCGAAATCATCCGAAGAGGGTCTCTCCCTCCAGGCGTTGATTCGTTCCTTCCGATCGCCGAGGTCGAGACATGTTTCTTATATCCTTCAACCTGTGCGGCCGTTTGTGGGATCTCATGTTTGTTTTGCTTGGCTTGCCCTTGGTTTCCTTTCTTTTGGTTGAGGAAAAGAACACACATCATTAGGAAGATTTGTTGATTAGTTGATTGGACACTTCCTGCACCAGGAAAAATACATCTCTCAAGCAAATACTTGGGGCAATTTGAAACGCCAATGAGCACCGGATGGTCAGAATCCACGACTCCAGGAGAGTACTGGGTCTATAGAGCAAGCCAGTGAAACAGCGATGGAATTGGATGTGGTTCTCGAGGAACAGAATGGTGGAGAGCAACGGCTGCAACCCCTTTGGTCAAACGATTTTTTTGCCAACACCTCAGTGAAGAGTCCGTCTAGAGAACACGTTATTCATGATTTCAGAACAGCTGCGAAGAGCACAGAAAATATCTTTAGTGTGTACAGGGAGGTCAAATGATGCTGAAGACCTTCAGGTCGAACATGCCTTTTCTCCGCAACAGAAGCCTTGGTGGGCTCGCGTTGAAGTTGGCCCTCCTGAAACAACATTCAACCAGCATCAAGCAAGGCCTTCAGTGCCTTCGGCGTTCTTTTCCTTCGGAAGGCTGTCCCTGAACCACCTCCACCACCAGTGCAAGCCACTGGTGCTTTAGAGGCCTGGCTGCCAGGCGATCTTTGACACATTGGGCTTTGTAGTTCAAATCCAGCAGGAAAGAGATAGAAAAGCACTCGGGTGTAACTCGATCTTTGATATGATGGACATTTTTTCTTGGACTCCGCTGAAGTTGGTAGCTGGGCCAAGGAAACCAGGACCGGTGTCGGTAAGAGCACGCACAAGTCCTAATTGTGGTCTGGAAAACAACCGGACAAATTGCTCTCTAGTTTGCTTTTTGCGACTGCCTCGTGCTTCTATAAGTAGTCATGCAACTGACCCGTCTCCCAACATGTCAACCTGATCACCTTCTTTGGAATCACTGCAAAGCACGCGCTGAAAAATCGGGCCAAGGCATGCCAAGGCGAGTCCAGCATGTGAAAAGTAGATGTTCATCCAAAAAAAGGGCTCGGGACCCTCCTGGCACCCAAGGGCGTAGCCCACCTTCTCAGGTTCGGTACCACTGGAGGCCTAGGGTTACAGCTTCACTCTGCTCGGGACGCCTTTTGCTGGCATGTTTTCACCCAGATCTTCACACAGCTCTCAGCCTCTCATGGCGTTCGAACCTGTCAGACGCTCCGTGAAAACGACGCCCGACTGGTCCTGGTCCCGAACCAATAATAGGGATTGGTGAGGTTACGTCCAGACCCCTCCAGTCCGGATTCAGGTGCGACCCCTGCGTAGGTTCGGGTCCAAGAGCGTTTGGGTAGGTGGGTCGATTCAGACCTCATGCGAGGCACAGACGAAGGCGCTGAAATCCAACCAGACGGCGATAGGGGTCAGCTAGCTGTGAAAGCATGAACCGATAGAGTTGTTTTCTAAGGGAAATTAGAGATGTGCAACCTATAGCAATTATACTCAGCTTTCTTTCAAGACTTGCCTCAGAATCATCTTGGCATGTCTTGGCAGATTGTGGTACTAAGGGAATGAAGTCTCACTGAGGCCCAGTTTGAAGTTGGAAAAGTTCTTCCGTTGCTTCATCAGTTCCAAGCTGGCGATCCGACAAGTCAGGGAGTCAATTGCAATGGTACCCCATCGATAACCGTACAAGCGGACACCGAAAAACAAAGCTCGGTGTATATAACATATCGGCGTGGACTCCACCGACCAAGCAGTCTGGAGCAGGACCTTAGGAGTTCCATTTCACCGTCGTGTGTGTTCATCTCATGGGTGTCCGCCCGCGCTGCCGACCTGGACCGGACACCCATCGAATGATCCTGGTGAATTCCAACCAATGGTATACATGCTACAGTGCAGGGACAGAGTGCCTCACCCATTTCCAGGTTAGAGACCCCCTGCCTGCATCGTCCGCATCCGAATTCATTGTAGCTTATCCCATGAAAAAACAATCAGGAGCATACGAAAGAGATGCTTTTCGTGTGCCACTGTCCTTGTTTTGCTGTTCGTTCCGTCTTTGGGTTCATTACTGTGCTTCTCATTATGATTCTAGATCCCTATACATCAATGCACCAAACCGGGATGGAAACGGGTCAGCGTTTCGGGGTGCCTTCTCCCCCAAACGCCGCCTTATGGATCCTTCCGGTCCTGGATCGATCCTTCCGTCCGCTCCGCTCTCCGCCACAGCGGGGCGGACGAAGGAGAAGCTGCGGGAGCTGCTCTCCATGGGTTTCGCAGACGAGGAGGGGCTGCGGGATTTCTGAGATGAACTGGTGATTTCTGGCGTGGCTTCGCGTCTGCGGTGGTTGGGAGCTGGGTCGATGCGGAGCTGATATATTGATAACCCTGCACCTCCAGTCGTACCTTCTGTGAAGGTGGGACTGGGGTGGGTGCCAGGAGGGTCCAGGTGCCTTCTGAGAAGGTATACTCGGATCCCCAGGGATTAGTAAGCGACTTCTGTACCTTTGTTGCACTGTATTACATCCGCAAATGTCCAAGGTGGAAAATGAATACATGTTGGATCAGAAAGCATGGTTCTTCACTCTCAGATTCCAGGTGTATGATGTGACACATGTGGAAGTCTGGAATGGATGAGATCCTGTCGGACCACTCGTCGTCGTTTCCCACACCTGGGTGCACGAGATCGGACGGTACACAGTGATCATGTGGACTTGGACTGCATCATACACGAGTGAACGTAACAAGTCCATGTTCCATACCACGCTCCATGGCAGTCCCATAGGGCTCAGGCCAGGGGTGGTGGGGTCGTTGTGGGGGTCGTTGTGGGGTGGCATACAGTATCCAGTCCCAAGGAGCCTATGCGCCATGGTCCCTGCCCGAGCAGATCTTCCGGAATAGATCAATACCTGCCCAAGGTGAGGAAGGTGACACCTTCGTCGATTTGCTGGATGCAATTTGCTGGAAAGCAATAGATTATTTGCAAACATCGTAGAGGGGGAGGTTGGCAACGTTCGTCCTGTGCCCTTTGCAAGTGCTTTTTGGCATAAGCTGGCTGCCCAGCTGTTGGATTTCAAGCTGCAGCTGCGCAACTCGGAATCGAATGCAGAACTCGACGGAAGGTCCGGTCCTGTGGAACTTGGGAGGTGTGGCCTCTCACCATTTCTGGGCGTTGTCTTGTGTGGCTTCGAACTCGCCGCCAAGTCGGACACACCACTCCGGGTGGCCTTTCCAGACGGTGCGCGGGTGTTCCACTTGTGCCGTTCGTGCGCGGGGGTTCCACTGCGCAGGCGCGCAACCGCGCGTTGTTGGCCAAGTATGCTGGACGCATGGATCGTGTGGTGGAGGCGAGCGACTCGGTGGGCGCTGGGAGCCGGTCCACGGGTCCTGGCTTGGATCCTTCGGGTGTTGCTTCGCGGTTGATATTTGTCTTTACCAAGCATGAAAAGATGAACAACGAACGAACACTCTGCATTTTGATGGTTTAACTTTGGTATACTTGGGTTCGTGTTTTTGTCGTGTCTTTTTACCCTTTGGAAGCGGGATCATGGCAGGAAATGTGATTGACCGATCATTCAGCTTCTCTTTTGGTCGATCGGTTGTTGAACAGCACGACAACCATTCTTTATACTGTTGTGTTTGTTGAACAGTGCTTCATGGCAGGCCCTTTGCGGAAGTTGACCTGGAGCATGCTGAGCGACTCCTTCTGTTCGAAAGATGTTCTACTTCGGAGAGCAGTTTGGGGCACTTGGTTGTCCATGCTGTAACTTCCAGCGACTGCGACTAGTGCGCATGCCCTGCCACATGAAGGACTTCTCAACAATGTAATGATGATTTTTGCCGTCTATGTGGTGTGGATATTCTTCAGTGCTCTGAAAGGTTTCCTTCAGCCCAGCACAGGTGGGTTGCCATCAGAAATCCGTGCCCTCCTAACCCTTTGCATTTCAATACAAAAACTACAAAATTCATTATGGCGCCGGATTTTTGTTGCACAGAGACAGCCAGCAACTTCGCCTCAAAATCTTGGCGTGCAATGCAAGTGTTTCTTTCTGTTTTGTGTTGTTTCTTTCTGTTTCGTTTTTCTACATTTATTCTTGCGTGAGTTTCATTCAGTTCCTTCATTCCTGCACACGTTGCGGACCAAACTTGGAGCACCGACTAAGTCACTCAGAGCCGAAATTGCTGCCATCAAGGGCTCGAGTCATCTTGCCATGCTTATTGACCTGAAGTTATTGTTGTAGAAGCATTTTTGACATAATGTTGAATAAATTTGTTTTGATGTGTCGTCTTTGGACATGGCTTTGTAGGGAGCAAAAGTAAACACAAATCGAGTCGCACAAGCGATGAGAAGCGATGATGGTGTTTTTTCGTCAACCAATGGAACCTCGGGGCACAAACATGGCCTTCGAGGTGCCTTCCTTTTCTCCAATGCCATGCAGATCCGCTCAGACACAGTCGGAAGCCTGCGGTCATTAGTCTGCAGGAGAGTTGATTCCGCTCTCAGCAGGTATTCTGATAAGTTCCGACATTGAAAGACCAGTCCACATGGTTTCTTCTTGGAGGTCCAGTCGGCCATCCTCGTGTGGTTTTCCGGAACCTGTTTGGGTGCCTAATGGCGCCTTTTTCGCTTTGCGATGGATGTTAAAAGACATGGCAGCTAACATTTCATTGCTTTGAGGATTTGTCTCACTAAGAGTCGGAGCTAGATCCCGACAATCCCGACTCACATGCAAAAGATACCCCCGAGCCAAGGCTATTACATGCTATTGCTGTTTGCGCAAGTTGTTCCTCCCAAACATAGAGGTCTTACACAAAGCTTCTCAAAAAACGCTGCTGAGGTCGTTCAGGTCGATTTGAACGAAAAACACCACGAAAAACGGTTGTTTCGCGTGCCTGGAAGGTGACTTCTTTTTTTGCGTTCCTCGTGGTCCAAGCAGCGCCACATGGCTTGAGATCCGCCGCATCCCTGCCAAATCCGCGGCATGCCTTGAAAAGGCTGGTTGTCGCCACTAGTATGGCTGTGGGTCAAAAACGGGGGACCCGGGTTGACCACTGAACATGAACAGATAGACGACCTAGGAGGTCAACCTTCCAGCAATTAGGAGTCCAGGTTTTGACCCGCAGCCGCATCACTAGTGTCCCTCCTACATCGATCCTGCTTCGTTTTTCCGGTATGCCGCCCAATTGAAGTGGGCACCGGTAAGCCGACACGTGATTCCTGGAAAACGAACTGCGGAGACGTTGCACGTTGCACCATGTGAGGGTTCACATCCTGAAAGAGGGTTTTTTGTGAAAAGAGTGGGGGGAGCCTTTCCCATCCATCACCCAGATGTTCCCACATGAGGACGATCCCATCTCGGAGTCAGGTGAGACAAAAAGAAGGTCCAATGAGTCCGGTGCGCCGAACTTGAGGAATTGCCTGGCTAAGCTTCAGTCGCCCCGAGCCAGCCGAAAAGGGACTGAAACCGGAGGAAACAGAACGGTGGCGTGGCGGAGCCGACAGGAAGTCCAGATCTGTGCAGCATTTGGTTCAAGATCTGAGAGGTGGGCTGACCCCGCGATCAAACATATATATATATATACATATGATGCAAATAGATGCAAGTATAGATATAATACATAACATTATATAATATATATATATATATGTACATGCAAATACGTGATTGTAATCATGCAAAAGAGAAAAACAGTATTCTGTTTGTTGGCGCCAACTGCAACCTGCAGTTTTTTTCGGCTGTGTTTTTTGCCACAGCGATGGGGGGCGGCAACAAATGCATTCTCAATGTCAGACGGACTTCCGATGAAAGCAACTGAGATGTTCGCCGAGTTTTTGAGCAGTTTCTGACAGATTGGGATTGCTGAAATGTGGTCCTGCCACTTTTGAAAGTTGGAATTTTTGGGCAGGAGCTGGGCCCATCTGGGCCTGTTTTAGGGTTCGACAAACCCCTACATATGAGAATGCACTTGGGCAAAATGTGCTTGAATCAGATGGAGGGGAATCCTCATAGGCTTTTGACATCTTTTGACTGGTCGTTGACAACAGTTGAGTCAGACTGGCGCAGAAATTAAACCACAAGCGGCTTGGGGCCGACGGCTTGTGGACTCTGGGTGTTTGTGTTGTTTGTTTGGGTTCGAAGTCCAAGGCACTGCGGGCACTGCGTCATCCTTTCTGGAGAAGAACATGGATGTTCGTTTCGATGATGCATCCTCATCGTGGTGCAACAGCAGTCCGGTCACAGCTTGGTCAGCCATGAGGAGTGGATTCCGAGCACTTGTCTCCGCATGGCATTTGTTCGGGGTCCAAGGTAGGTATATAAGGATGTATGATCATTTATTGGGTCATTTCCTATGCGGAGTGGAAGGATTGGAAGATATTAAGGAATATTAAGGATATGTATGATGGGCTGCATGTTGGATGTGTTTCTCTCAAAGATCTTAGCAAGCCGAGCTATGAGTAACCGCTTTGTAAAAGATCACTTTCCCCCAGAGATACTACTATATAACATCTACTAACCAACATGAAGGATAGACATGCATAATTTGTCGGACAGACAAGTCTAAAAAGCTCGGTTTTCGTTTTCCAAAGAGAATCCAAAAGAATCCAAAAGACCTCAGACCTTGATCAGGAGTTCCCCACCAAGCGCACTGATGGTGCATACAACAGTTGCTTGGCACTGCCATTTTGGTCGCAGGGCATCCAATGTGGGGACTGTCACGTGGATCCAGAGCGAACACAGAGGTTGTAGCACACAGAAGGGAGACCGACCCCCGGTTCGACTATTCTAAGGGAAAGAGACCAGGAACCACCCATTGGTTGGGTGGTTCCCTAGACAAAAATTCAACTCTTGCTCCACTGGGCCATGCCAATGAGTTTCCTTTTGCCAACGGAGGGCACGGTCGGCAAGTCAGCTTGATGTTCATAAGAATCGATGTAAATGAATCGTGTTTGTTGAGACTCAGATATCCAATGCACGCTGCTTCTCTGAAATACCTAAGGTCATGCTTAAGAATGTGCCAGAGTGCTTTACGCGGGCAAGGCTGCTCTACCTTCTTTGCAAAGAAGGACACGGTTGGTATGTTGTGTGTGTGTGTTGCTTTGCTTTCCACGATGTTTGCCAACAGATTCCATTACCCTGTTCTCTCTTTTTTTCTCTGCTGCTTAAACCGCTGCACCCTCGAGTGCACGAGCACAGAACCGCGCTCAACACTCTCGTCTAGACACCGACGCAACAAACACCGAGCGCAAAAGTGCCTCCGACCACACGGACGCTCCAAACAGCCCAACCGGTTCTGAACCAAACCCTAGCAGTAAGAATGCTCCTAGTAGCGATGCCAGGAGCCCCTAGTAGCGTCCTTGCTCCT